TTTTCTCTCTGGCAAAGCAGGAATAATAGATAATTCACACTCTGTTAATGGCGATTAAAGATCATAAGGTAGAGTTCCTGCCACAAAAGGCACAATAAATGCTAGACATCCTCCTTCCTCAGTCCTATGCCTCTTCCTCCTCTAAGAGGTTGGCTTCCACACTCCCCAACTCTGCCAGGGCAAGCCTACTACCAGAGCCAGTCACCAACTCCCAGCGGTACCCTTCCCCCTCCACACACTTACAAAACAGTCACTTCCAAGAGCAAGAACACACGGGTTCTAAAGAGCACCACTCACAGGAACCAGCCACCAGCATTCCTCCACAGGGACCTCAGTTCTCTCAGAGAGGGAACTGAGCCCCAGTAACCACTGCTAGGATTTTTCCCATGCTGCAACGCAAGTTCCTCAACTTTTCCTGGCACACAATTTCCAAAGAAACCTGGAGAAGGCACTGTGCATAATCTACAGCAAGTCTGGTCGAGCTAAGAGACAGCTCTCCAGGCAGAGAGAAGGTAACGGACACAGTCACAAAGGGAAAAGGCACGAGTGGTCCAGATACCCAGTGGCAGGGACCAAAACATAAGAGGTTCTGCTCCTGGCCTAGGTCCCCCTCTTGCTAATTGCACCTGCTGGTTGAAAGCTAGCACTGGTTCCTGAACGAAGAGCAGACAAGACAGTGAAGAGCCTTAGGAAGGGGGCTGACTCACATCCCTCAGAGGTGTCCCCTAACCTCCACCCCGCACCAGACCTAGTGGCCTCCAGGGGACCCTGTGGCCATGGCGCCCCTGAGAGGGTAGGCAAGGCATAGTGGGGGGCAGTCATTGTTCCCCCCCTCTCTGGATGGGCTAAGGAGGGAAGGGCCACCCGCAGCCATCTCCAGGTAGAGCAATGGCCCTGGCGGGGTCCCCGCCCCCCCACCTCAGTGAGCTGTGTGGATTCGGGGTTCAAGCATCGCCCCCTCCCCGGATGGGCTAAGGAGGGAAGGGCCAGCCGCAGCCATCTCCAGGTAGAGCAATGGCCCCAGCGGGGTTCCCGCACCCCCCCCACACCTCAGTGAGCTGTGGAGAGGAGGGGTGCTGGCCGGCTGGAGAGGCCACATGGCGGTCTGCACTCATCTCGTCCTCGGCGGGCAGTAGTGGACCGACGCTGTTCAGGCAGGGAATGGGCAGCAGGTGAGGCTGCGTCTTCTCCAGCGCTGTGCCACCCAAGTCCTGGAAGTGGCCCGGCTCCTTGGTCAGGAGCAGCTTCAGCAGCAGCAGCTCCACCTTGGCGCCTCCCGCGCCTTGTCCAGCTGCCTCCGCTCTCCTGGACGTAACACTCCCGCGGCCTCCAGCAGCCCAAACCCCGCCTCCACCTCGGTCACCGCCTGGGCCAGGCTCTGTTGACACTGGGCGAGTAGCTTCGGGCGCTGCAGCTCCATGCTGGCGGGCCGCCTGTCCCCACCGGACGGCGCCCGGGCTCCCCCAGGCTGCGGGCCAGAGTCGGGCGGCAGCCAAGCTCGCCGGGAGCCTCGAGTCGGCGGGGCCCACGGTCCGGTACCAGCGGGACAGCGCTCAGCTGCCGCCTCCTGGCCTTCGGGGCGCAGACTGTTGGCAGCGGAGTTACTCGGACCGGAAGTCAAGTGCAGGATAGATCAGTGGGGTTGGAAGCGTTCAGCAGAGTGTCCCAGGAGACTAGGCCATGCAGTCCGGTGGGTCCAGGGCAAACACTACTCCTCCACCAGGGGCGGTTGTGTGTCTCTGATGTTTACAGGGAATGAGATTTAGGAAGTTCCTGGGTTTGACAGATCCGGTGTTGCGCATGCGCGAGCCCTGGAGTGCGAGCCTGTGTTGACATGAGTTGCCTAGCAACAGCCAGACTCCAGCAGTTGACAGTTCTGTCTGTGCTGCTAGGACGGTTTTCCACTGAGCTCGCCTGTGGGCAGTTTGTTGTGGATTTTCAGGAGAATTGCTTGGTTGGCTTCCTTTCAAAACCACTTCCTCCTGTTCCTTTGGAGGGTGTTCCACCTTCCAGGGGGTCTTTTCAACGGGACCCGGGAGGCCCGTGTCCTCGACCATGAAGAGGATCTTGGGCTTCCGGACTCAAAGTCTGCCATCCTTCCGGGGCCCTGGGCATCAGTCGGAGAGTGTTCAGAGCACCCCCCTGCCCAGAAGGTCCAAAGACTACACAGCCTTCAGAAAGATCCACAAGGCTGCAAGCCTGGGTGACGCTGCCGAGGTGCAGTACAGACTCATCCTATGCAAAGATGGCAAGAATGACAGAGACAGGAAGGACAGGTACCTGGGGCAGGGGGAGGGGGCACCGGAGAGGCACAGCGGTGAGGATGGTGTCAGTTTTCTGGAATATTCAAGAACAAGGGCCAGAGAAGAAGAGCTGGAAGGACTAGAGTGGAGGGACGGAGCAGAGCGGGCAGGCCCAGCATTTTTGATTCCAGGTTCTCTGTATCCTTAGCCAGCCTAGACCCACTGATTCTCCAGGTTATACCTTCTGCTTGCTGGGATCCCTGACCTGCGAGACTCTCCTGGCTTCCACTGTCTTGACAGTGTCCCCTGCCTTGTGCACTCCATTTTAGTTTAAGATTTTGGACACAAAATGTGGAAACTACAAGATGACAAGTGTCAGGTGGACTCTTTATGGACACCTCTGGGCTTGCTCATAAGGCAATTTATCCTGGTGCTCGGGAACACAATCTCTAATATCTCTCTGCCTGAGAATGTTCCTACTGTTCTTTTCCCAGATACTTCAAAGTTTACACAGCCTTATGTCACATCCGTAATTATGGCACTTTGCTTTGTGTTGTGAAAATTGTGTACAGGTTTTGCTTCAGAAATTGGGATGAATGACAGAGCTAACTGAATGTCTTTTTTCCAGGGTAAGTAAGATGTGTAGGTCAGCATGTGGTGAGTCCAACTGCTCCACTTCTTCCCTCTTGAGACTGGACATTGTTTCATCTAGTTATTAATATGCAGCAATATCCACACTAACTTCATCTTTTTGGTGTTTATGAACTGATATCAGTTAATTTCAATTGTTATATCTTTGTCAGTGGGGCGAGTTATTTAGCGACAGTCCAACTTTGAATCTTTTTCTTTTTAGCCATCAGCTAGTCAGCTAAGTCTGTACCTTTACTTGGAGACATTAAGATAATTTCCAGGTATACTTATTATTGAGGGGACTTGCTAAATCTTGCAATTTTAATGGGTATTTTATGTATACTTGCTTTACTATGTGTTTTATTTCTTCTCTATTCAGATCAGCAGATTTTTGGTTTATCGCACAGTGCATGACTTTCATTTGCTGTTGTTTTTGTTCATCTCTTCATGTTAAGAACAGCCATATCTATGCACTTGTCGTTAAAATACTCTGCTTTTCTTGTGTCTAATCTCATTTTCTTCGTGTATTTTCTGTATCGGTGGCTTGGAGCCTTGGGCTTGCTTAGTGTTTGTCTGGCATTTTCCTTACTGTTTCAACGACTGTAAAATGTTAGTTGTTTTCCTTGTCGACGCAATCTTGATTGGCAGGTATTTATGTTCAGGTCTTGAAATGTATCATGTTTTCCTGAATACTGCCATTTCTGCTGAGGTGTTTGATGTCACTGTGATAGGCTTGCTTCTGTAAGAGAAATAAAACATTAGACTCATGGCTATTAGCATTTTGTGCTTTGGCATTTCTGCTTTCTTGACTGTAATGTTTTGTAGAGATGTTTTCCCTGATTATATCTCTACATCATCTGTAGTCCTTCACAAAACCGTGCTCACTGTTAGAGCGAAATAAGAAGGAATTGCAATAAGGAAACTGAAGAAAATCAAGGGAGAAAATCAAGACTCTAGTTTAAATAAAAGCAGCAAAAAAGCAGAAGACAGGATCAGAATTGTAGCAAGAAGTAAACAAATATCAAAGTTAAAAACAACAGCACAATAAAGAATTAAATAATAATCAAAATTATATAGACGTAATAAGAATAAAAAGAACACTATAGATGCTTTTAAATATAGGTGGTACAGTATAAAAAAATGAAACGGAAGGGCGAAGAGATGCCTAAGGATAAGATGATGGAGAACTTCCTTCTGAGTTCTGTCATAATGGGATGTGCCTAGTGGCATCAGTGGGAAGTCACAGTGGTGGACACTTCTGCTTCACACAGGTCAAAGTGTTAGAGAGTCAAGTGGTCCAAGGGTCAGATCATTAGTGATTGGATCACTTACAGACTTCCTGTCTTCCTCTGAGCAGCAACTAAGGAGCACTGTTATTTTTAAGCCATTGGGCTTGGCATCTTGTTGTCCACTCTTCAAATTTGTGTACCCTGGAGTGCCTAATTTCTAACACAAGGAGATATTGCCTGGCTGTGTTGAGCTACAGTGAAGGCAGCTGGAACACACAGATGTGGCACTGAAGTACCTGTCTCAGTGCTTTGCAGTCCTGCTCAGTATTAAACACCCTGCAGGAGAGCAGAGGATATTGGGAGTATCTACTAGGTACACTTAGAGTACTCAGTGCTGCAAGTAGAAAACCACACAGCTGAGTGGGAGTTGAATGGTGGGTCAACTCCTGACTCTGGCTCATGTTTATTAGACTTGGCAGGCCTTCCACTCCTCCCTGAAAGGGACAGGACCACCAACATTAGAGCTGTTCACAACTCAAGCCTCTTGACAACTGAGTTTCTCAGTGTTTCAGCATCCGGTCCTCTTCTTTTTCCTGAGGACCTAGTGCCACTGTTCCTCCACATGCACTGCAGCAAGTTGTTCCCAACCAACGTGATTTGCTATTTCCCCCTCTTTTGGGCACCCACATCTCTTCGTTCTGAAGGAGAAGGGACTCTATTGAGATGGAGCCTGAGTATACCCAAGGGAGATGTGGGAGGTGTCCAGTCAGATTCCTCCAATGCAATGGATCAGAGGAGAAGATTAATAGTGTCCTTTTGTCTAATTAGTGAAAATTAATTTCAAGACAATAATGTTTACCATCATGAATAATTGTATATTTATTGTATAGCCCTTTATAAATTCTGAAAAAGTCCTCTCACTTTTCACAGAACTATTTTGCATTATGCTTGTGCACATGGCCATCTTGATGTCGTGACACTCCTAATGGATCGTAAATGTGACATTGACCTCTGTGACAGTGACAGCAGCACACCACCGATCATGGTAAATAGTAGCCAACAATTTCAGCATAAAATGGATTTGGTGCAAATGCTGAGAATAAATCTGATTTTAGTGTATTTCCTGTATTTCTAAAGTTCTCAATCCATGTCTTGATATAATACCTACAGTCAGCACAATACGGGCATGAAGAATGCATGGCCATTTTATTAGAACGTGGTGCTGTTCCAAATGCCATGGACAACTGCGGAAATACAGCTCTCCACTATGCTGTTTGGAGTGAAAACATCTCAATGGCAGGCAAACTACTGGTGCACCAAGCCAGCATCGATATAAAGAACAAGGTAGGAATCACACAACATTGGTTCCCAAAATACGTGAACGCGATTGAGTGTACAGTGACATATGTGGTTCCTTTTTACATATGTAGAATCTGGAACACCCTGTGAGTGAAAACATTATTGAAGATGTCCCTTTAAATATTGATTTGTATTTACTTTTATTTATTATTATTGTGCTTGTATATGGTATGGGGGAAAGCATGCTACAGTGCTAGTGTCGAGGTCAGAGGACAGCATTGTGGAGTTATTTCTGTCTTCCTACCTTTACCTGGGTTTCAGTATTGACCTCCGGTGGTCAGACTTGCATGGCAAGTATTTAGCCCCTCAGTCATGTCACTGACCCCTAGTTATTGATACATTTGAGGAAACAAATAGACATTGCTTTCTTCTATTAATTTGTGACAAATATTAGAGACAACATCGAATTTGTGAAAGGTGAAACAAATTTTTTTTACTAATTTTTAAATTACTGTCAAAAATATAGGAAAGTAAAAATTGACTCAAAGATTGGCTAAATCTTGAAATCCAAAGAAAACAAACACATTTTATATAAACAGAAAAGTTGTCACTATTGAAAATTTATATCAAAATGATTTAAATCCCAGAGAAGGGGCTGAAGCAGGAAAAATGGAAAAAGGGACGTGGTTGTGAACATGCAGAAATCAGAGACGGGAAGCAAACCACCACGAACAGCTTATCTTACCGCCTTCTGTGTATCAGTGTGCTAATTTTCAGTTGGGGGCTAATCTTATAAATATTTGTTCATTTTTATTTTATGTCTATGAATAATTTTACTGCAGGTAAACATATATATATATACCACTTGTGTTCCTGGTAAACCCAAAGACCACAAAACTTCTTGAATCCCCTAGAACTGGAAGTACAGATGGGTTTGAGCCACCATCTGGGTTCTGGGAACCAAACCTGGGTCCTCTGCAAGAAAGGCCAGTGCTCTTAACTGCTGAGCATTCTCTCTAGCATCAGGTAGTAGCTCGCAGTTTGAGAAACATGTAGAGATCAATTGTGCATGCATTCCAAAGAGACCGGGTCAAAGATCACTAGATGGTGTTCATAATGAAAGCCACAGGAAAGGGTTGGAGAGATGAATAAACAGGTGAAGCGCTTGGGGCTGAAGAGATGGCTCAGTGGTTCAGAGCCATTGACTGCTCTTCTAGAGGACCTGGGTTCAGTTCCGAGTTCACACATGGTGACTGACAGCCTTCTGGAACTCCAGTTCCATGGGATCTGTCCTCCTTTTCTGACTTCAGTAGTCACTGCATGATGTGTGTGCACTTACATGCAAGAAGGTAAAACACTCATACACATAAAAGAAAATTCATCAAAAAATAAAAGCAGATAAAAGAGATTGCTGTGCAAATCTGATGACCTGATGTAGATCCCTAGACATAAAAGCCAGATATGGTAGCATGTATCTGTAACCCCTGTCGTCCTACAAAATGTTGGGAGGCAGAGAAAGAAGAACTGGCTGGAAGTTTGGGAGGCAGGCAGCCTGAATTACATTCCTCCACAGTGGCAGAAACAGAAGGAGAGACTCTGCCTCAGCAAGGGAGAAAGTGAGCACTAACTTCTCAAAGTTGTCCTCTGACTAGCACATGTGACAGGTACACACACACACACACACACTTGCAAAAATGTATACATATTAAATAATGCACTGACATATTGTTCCCTTGTGGTATACACAGCCGCTTAGGTAAGACTTTAATTTTTTTTCTGTCACGTCTACACTGCCTTTCTGAGAGGTAGAAGATATTTTACCTTTTCCATGATTAATCAAGTTTCACATTTAATTCCTTACATCCCATTCTGCTCTACTCAATGAACTTAATGGACTGTCTGTCTCCTCAAAATGTGCATACAATGAAGAGAGTTAGCCATGTGAATGAGAACTAGCTTTGATGCCATGCTTTTGGTGTCTGCAGTGTTTATCTTGAAATTGTGCCGCATAATCACCATGGGAGAGCTTTGAAAATGTACACAGTTTGATTCGGCAATTCTGAAAATGCATGGGCTTTAGTGCCATGCCCAGTTTTGCGACATTTCTCGAAGAAATGAATGTAGAATATTTGTGCTAGGCATGGTACTTCTGGGTAAGTAAATATCAGTGGGAATATAGATGAGTGAATGTTGCTCTAGAGATGCAATTTAATTCATCCCTCAAGGAAAATACTGAAAACCTTACTACTATGTTTGAATGTTTGTGACAAAGAGAGAAAGAAGACACTCTTGGTTTAGATGGAGCAGTCACATGACATCAAAATCCCATGGTAAATATTTGACTACTATGTTTGAATGTTTGTGACAAAGAGAGGAAGAAGACATTCTTGGTTTAGATGGAACAGTCACATGACATCAAAATCCCATGGTAAATATTTGGATAAAAGCAGAGTTTGTGGAAACATTTCATGCCTGAAGTGCATGTTTACGAGGGCTGTGGGTCATGGCCAGCTCTAGAGAAGGTAGAGTCTTTTCACATGGAAAGAGCTCCATGTGTGAAAGCACTGTGGTGTGAGAAGGAAGAGGCTGCAGTTCTGATAACCTACAGTGTGTGCTGACATCCTATCAGGCTTTGATCAGATCCTCATCTCTTTGAAAATATGGCATTTTGAGAGTGAAAATTTGGCTTTTCCCATAGAAGGGCTATTCTCCACACACTCTGGCTCTAATCAATGGCAACCAGGAGATGATACAATGTTTAGTGAGCTTTTTGAGAGTGAAAATTTGGTTTTTCCCATAGAAGGGCTATTCTCCACATACTCTGGCTCTAATCAATGGCAACCAGGAGATGATACAATGTTTAGTGAGCAAAGGAGCAAGCATATGTGCAGTTGAACAACCAGACAGGTATTGTGGTAAATTATTCTGTTTTTAAATGATAGTGGTATTTAACAATAATTTCAACTATTCAAGTGAGATTCATCACATTGGTTGGAGGAAGAAATGGACATACTTATTAGCATCAGGAGAACATAAACATATACTATCAATTAGATAGAAAAATAATTATCCAGGCTGGAGAGGTGGTTCAGCCTGTGGCAGAGGACCCAGATTCGATTCCCAGCAGCCATGTGGCTGCTAACAACCTGTAACAACAGTTCCAGGGGATCCAATGCCCTCTTCTGATCTCTGTGGGCATTACATGACATGGGTGCATCCACCTACATACAAGCAATACATTTGTACACATTAGAAAAAAAAGCAATTATCCAAACTAAGCAATACCAAGAACAGGACAGCAGCAACTCTGCTATTTTTTAACATGGCTGAAGTTTGTTGCCTGTAGTCTGATTTTGTTGATTATATAGTCTTATATTACTTGAAGTGGTTCCATAGTGAAATTCTTTGTTGTTTCAAAATTTATAGATTTTACTGCTTAATATTTTATTAAAATAAAAATCTTAACCATTTCATCTTCATTGCAGCTTCTCATTTATTTATTTATTTAATTTAAAAATTAGGTGTATGAGTGTATTGCTTGCACATGTGTTAGTACCATGTGTGTTAGTGTATCCATGGCATGCAATGCCCATGGAGGTCAGAAGAGGGTGTCAGATAACCTGGAACTGGTTATCTGCAATGTGGGTGCTGGGAACCAAACCAGGGTCCCCTTCAAGAGAAGCCAGTGTTATTAACCATTGAGTTAATAGCCCCTCTTTTTATTTTTTGAGAATTTTATACATGAGTATAATATTTGCATTATTTTTATCCTTCCAACCTCCCTCCAACACGTCCCATCTCTCACCCTCCCCAGTGAATTCTTGACATATTCTTTTCTTATTATGGTACTGTATAATACACTGAATCCATTTAGTGGTGCTTGTGTGTCTATGTCCTTAGGGTTGCCCACTTGTGGGTTAGATAACCTCTCAAGGTGCTAGTCCCTGGGAAAAACTGATTTTCCATCCCCTTTGCAGTAGATGGATGTATCCGTCTTGAGGTGCTACCTTATGGAATTTTCCCCATCCAAATTGGTTCATCAACAGGTTTTGTCATCATGCAGATGTTGTTAGGTTACCATGTTGTGGCAATTTCATGGATGTAGATTCCCTGTCATGACTGGAATCCAATAAAAACAGAAGGGGTCTTGTTCCTCTTGCACATAAAATCTTTTTCCATCTTCTTCCATGAGTCTCCTGAGCCTTAGGTGTAGAGGTCGGATTGTAGATGTAACAGTGAGGCCTGGGCATTTCACAGTCACATGTTTGTGTTTATTCAACTGCGGAATTTGGTAATAGTCTCCATCTGTTGCTAGAAGAACCTTCTTTGATGAGTGGTGAGAACTACACTTGACTATAAATACTAATTATAGACATTACATTCATCTAGGAAAGTGACAGCAGTAGGTTTTTCTTTAGTGCCTATGACCTCACCAACCATGAATACTTGCAGATATATACAGAACCATGCATGGATTTCCTCCTCTGAAGTGGACCTTAGGTTGAATGGTTAAGACAGTGATTATTACCCCTAAGATATAAGTGCCACTATTGTGCTAATACAGATAATTTGTTGGTCTGGTTGTTATTGTGGTCTGTAGGTTTATTTGTGGGTCAGCCCATTGCTTGATTTTTTTCCCTTGCCTTCTGATAGTATGATATCTAATCTTTAGAAAAGAGACTTCCAGGTCAGTTTCAACTCCATTTCTCCACATCCTATGTTCAAATTATTCCATTTCTTTAGTCACAGAGTTTTACTTCTAGGGGGCAATCAAGGGCTATGGTGATAGTCTATATTATTTTCGATTCTATTAGATTATCCTGACCAATAGTTGGAAGCTTGTCGCTGAATTTTCTTGTATAGCCTTCTGCTATACACATGCACTCACATTTACATATGCATTTCAGCAGGCTTATGAAATAATACATTTCCATTTAGTTTTCTACAACATATACATTGTGAACTCTTTCCTCTGTATATCCCTCCCTTGTTGCTCCCCAGTTAGAGTACTCTCCATTTTCCCCATTTCCTCCTTGATAACACTGTGTTCTACTGTTTCCATCTCTTGTACTCTTTTACTTTTCATTTTCCTATGTAGTGTGTACTTCAGAAAATAGACTCACATTGAAGAATGTGGACCTAGATAATCCACAAGTGAAAGAGAAAATGTGCTCCTTGATTTCTGAGTCTGAGGTGCCTCACTAGTATCTAGTGTCTAGGTGCATCCATTTACTTGAAAATTCCATGATTGCATTTTTCTTTACAGCTGAGAGGAACTTCGTTGTGTAAACACACCAAATTTTCATAATCCATTCATCAGTTGAGGGATATTTATGTTGTTTCCATTTCTTGAGTATTTTGAATAGTGCTGTAATAAATATGGAAGTACAGAGGTCTCTTTGGCTTACTGATTTTATTTCCTTTGGCTATATACTTAAGAGTTAGATTGCCAAGGGATGGTTTAGCTGAGTCATAGGGTAGATCTATTTTAAGTTTTCTGAGAATTCTTCACACTGATTTCTGTAGTGGCTCTACCAGCATACACTTCCCTATTGGTGAATGAGTGTTGTCCTCTCCCTATATCCTCATCAACATTTGTTGTTGGTTTTTATGATCATCATCAATCTGAAAATTGTACAAGGTAATGTTGAAGTAGTTTTAATTTATATTTCCCTAATTAGTAAGGAAGTTGAACATTTCATAATGTAGTTATTAGCCATGTTTATTTCTTCTTTTGAGGACCCTCTGTATATATATATATATAACAAGTGGGTTATCTTTTAAATTGGAGTAGATGGCAAATTTTTCTATCCTATTCTGTTGCCTTCTTATTTACTTGATTGATTTTTTTCTCTACAGAACATATTTAGTTTAATGAGTCCCATTTGTCAATTATTGGCCCTTAATTCTTGTGTGAATGGAGTTCACTCTACAACGTCCTTTCCTGTACCTGCATCATGTAGATTATTGCCTCAATTTCTTACAAAAGTTTCAGCATTTCAGATTTCACACTGATGTCTTTGGTTCATTTGAAGTTGATTTTTGTGCAAGGTGATAGATATGCATCTGATTTCAGTCTGTTACAGGTGGACATCCAGATTTCCCAGCAGCATTTGATGATGTTTTCCTTCCAGTGAATATTTTGGCATCTTTGTCAAATATCAGGGGACTACAGTTATGTCCACACACTCGTGTTTGGTTTTCTGTTTTGTTACATTCATCTACATTCATCAGCACCATGCTGTTTTGACTACTACAGCTCTCTGATAAAGCCTGAACTATGATGTGGTAATCCCTCCAGCACTTTTTGTTTAGAATTGCTTTGGTTCTTTCTGGTCTTCTGTGGTTCCATATTTATTTTAGGATTTTCCCCCCAAACGTTCCCTTAATATGCTATATTAAGCTTAAGTACATTGTGGACATAATTTTGTATCTTGAGTAATTATTTTCTTTCATTTTTTTTTCTTTATCATGAATGCCAACAATCTCAATACAGAGGAAGCTGAGTCAGGAGGGTTGCTTGGCTTTTTGGATATCATGAGTTAAAAAATGATTAGTAGGACAGGCTCCAGCGTAGGTTACCTAGGGAACCCACCACTAAAGGCACACTACCACTACTACTGCTACTACTACTACTTCTTTCATTGAAGAATCATTACATGAACCCAGCTTGAATGTCTATTTTGAGGTTTATAATTCATTTTTACATACTCACCAGCTGTTAATCACTATTGCAAAATACCTGACAGAAACAATGATGTGGTGAAAAGAATTATTTGACTAGTGGTTTCTGAAGTTTCAGTTTCTGATTGGTCAACTATGCCTTGACAACCACCCAAGGAAGAATATTATTGCAGTGGGAGCATGGGCTGCAGGAAGCTTCTCATTTTATGCAGTAAGGAGGGAAAAATTAGAGAAATACACTATGCAAGACAAGTGTCAAACTTCTAACTAGAACTGACCTCCTAATTATGCATTCAGCTGTTGGCTGATACTTGGTAGCCCATTGATGAAGCTCATGCCCTCATGTTTCAATAGCCTCTTAATTCCATTATGATCTTGGGCTATTTCATCACATGGACCTTTTGGGGGGCCCTTCATACTTAAAAGATGACAGATGTTTATGTGTTTAGCTGGCCTTCACGAAGGGAAGAAAATGCCTTTAACCGCATAAACCTTTCATTGAATTAAAATAAGTCATAGATTAGCGACAAAGTGAAAGCACTAGATATACATAAGACTGTGTGCAATTCTGAGTTTGGTCTCTTGCTAGGTGTGTGAGACATCTTTTCCAACTCACTGTCTTGCCTATTTACGTATAGTATAGGGAAAATGTGGTTCTCAAAGAAGACTAGCAATTATTGGCATCTCTATGCAGAGTGCAAGTGACTGATTTTCCGGATTTAGCAAGCTTTCCAGGAGTCAAATTTAGCCAGATATAGTGAATGAATCCATCTAAGGGAATGAGGAGAGAGAGAGAGAGAGAGAGAGAGAGAGAGAGAGATCCTACTACCAGTTCCTACTATTCATCATTACAGCCCATCTTTATTTCAAAAATTTGTGCCTTTAGATCTTGAAAATTTAAGGTTGAAACCTGTCATTGAGCCCTGAGGAAAACAGCTCTTGGAATGTAACACTGTGGGAAGAAGCTATAGAAATACCATTAGGAGACAGAGGAAAAACAACCAGGACTCTACTTCTCCAGCTCTGTACTCTTAATTGCATATCTGTGAAAGTTTGTGTCTGCTAGTTTATGTGGACGAAAAGGGGGCAGAATGTATATAGAAAAACTTACTGTGTTTTATAAATTTTTTTTGTCTTATATGCTCTGGGAAGAATGTTCTACAAGAAAATAACATACATTTCTTTGTTCTTTAAATATGGTACAATTGTCTTTCAAACACTTGAGATGTTACATGAGCATAGGTGTGCCATTTTGAAGCAAAAGGAATCAATGAGTACTTTTTCCACATAGGTTCTGTACTGAACAATACAGATCACTAGTTTTGATTTATATAGCTTACTTTTGAACTGGGGCAGGAAGATGATGTTATCTCTGTCTTATTTCTCCAACTCAGATTTGTTTCAGTTCAGTTTACATGAGCCATTAACTAGACATTTGTTCAGTCTTCATGACACAATTTGTGCATATATTTTATTCTCAAGCTCTGACAGTACATTGGTAGTCACTCTATGAAATAGATCTATAATGGAGTCTTCTCTGAGCATTTCATAGTTTAGGAGAGATACAGGCAAAAAGTGATAAAAAAGATGCTATAAATAAGACAAATAAAATAAATAAATGAAAGCCATAAATAAACTTGTATTTACAAAAAAACGTCGTTTATTACACAACCAGATGCACAAGACATTTTTTATAGAAATAAACTCAGTCATGATTATTTTGTTTTTACTCTGAAGGAGTCCCAGTGAATCTAGTTCTGGTGACACATCTAAAGAAGATGAGTCCAGAGTTCATATCAAGGTAAAATCCTTACATCTGCGATTGGTTTTCTTAATCTTAATTTGTTATTGTGGTAAAATTAATTTTATGGTAGTAATTTCTTCCTAGAAACAGAGAAATGAAGTCTGTAACATACGTATATTCATACATAAATATGACATTTTCAGATATAGTCATTGAGTTAGTGCTTGAAATATAAAAATGTAAGTGAATGCAATGTTATTTTTTCTTTCTATTTTTCCCATTCTGCCAATTTGAATATCAGATAAAATGCAATATTTAAACAAGAGTAATGTGCAGTAGAAATAGTTGAGTAAAGTTTCATTATAGAGCCATGCAGTCTCATTTTAGGCCTTTGGGTCATGACCGCTCTGTTGTAACGGCTGGGTTAACTGCAGTTACAACAGAGAGGCTCAGTAAATCAATGCAGTAGAACGTGGTTATTTTCTGATAAAGGTTCTTCCCAAAACAGGCTGGCACAGACTTGAAGTGAACTATGAGTAACATTTTCATATTCTTTCCTTTAGCCTCAAGAGTCCCTGAATCTAGAAGCTGCAGATGCTGAGATGATGCAGGATAAAATACAAAGGCATAATGTAAAGACACATGTAAAGGAATTTGAGTGTCCATAAAGCAAATGACAGTGTAGTCTATTGATTCTGACTAGTACACTAATGTGAAGCCATTAAGAAACTTCTGTCTGAAGTTCTTTGAATTATGTAACACTCCTGGGATGGGACTCAGTTGTGTAATGCATGCTTTCTATATGCAAAGCTCTAGATTTAATCTCCAGAACCTCAAAAACAGAAATAGAAATGCACAGTTTTTAAAAATTATCTTAAAATTTCATACTATCCACCCAAGATAGAGAGAAAATGATGATTACCCAACAATTTGTATTGAAAATTTTAGCAACTTATGAAACTGGTCTATGAGAATAATTATTTCAAAATATAATTCTTAGGCTTGAACTTAAGAATTCCAAGTTAAAGAAGATACACAAAAACAAAAAGAAACTTCAACACATCTGAAAAATCTGGTAGGTTCAAATTTGGTAAGTCAGCACATATATACATACACACATATGTATATGTATATTACGTGTACATTTTTAATATGCTTACAAAGTAATACATTTCCGTGTGGGTCTAGCTTCATTCTTCTACACCTAGAGATCCAGTTTTCCCAGCACCATTTGTTGAAGATGCTGTCTTTCCCCCAATGTGTGTTCTTGGCATCTTTATCAAAAATCAGGTGGCTGAAATTGCATTCACTCATGTTTGGGTCTTCCAGTTTGATCCACTGATACAGACATGCCAATATAATTTTTTTATGACTAAAGCTGGGTAACATAGTTTGAAATATGGTTTGATAATCCACAAAGCATTGCTCTTTTTGCTCAGAATTGCTGTGGTTATCCAGAGTCTTTTGTGATTTCATTGTTGTTTTTTTTTTCATTTTGTTTTGTTTTGTTAGTTTGTTTCAATGAAAAATGTCATGAGAATTTTTGTTGAGATTTCATTGAATCTGAAAATTGTTTGGATAGAATTGTCATTTTCTTCTCCTTGTGCATGGGGGGATCTTTCTGTCTTCTCTTGTCTTCTTCATCCTCTTTCTTCAAATGTTTAAAGTTTGTCTTTCATGGTTTTGTTAGGTTTATTCCTATACATTTAACTTTTTGAGGCTATTGTCAATGAGCGGTGTTTGCATGATTTCTTTCTCTGCCAATTTCACACTGGTGGATAAAATGTGTACTGAATTTTGTAAGTTTATTATGTATTGTGTCACTTTTGTGAAAGGGTTTATCAGTTCAAGAAATAGTCTGGTGGAATGGTGGGATCTTTTATGAATGTTATATTGTCTGCAAATGGGGATATATTGATGTCTCCTTTTCCTTTTAGCATCCTTTAATTTTTTTAACTTATTGCTCTATCTAGGGTTTCAAGCACTACTTTGTTTTGTAGAATATCAAAAAGAAGTGGTGAAAGTGAACAGCTCTCCTTCGTTATTTTAATGGGAATGCACTGAGTTTTTCTTTGTTTAGAATGTTGTTGACTGTGTGTTTATCAGTTACAGTCTTTTCTAGGTTGGGGTTTGTTCCTTCCACTCCTGTTCACCTAGAACTTTCATCAGGAAGCATGTCTGCTTTTGTCAAAGTCTTTGTCTGAATCTCTTGAGATGATCGCTTCATTTTTAAGTAAATTTATTTCATTTATTGACTTTTGTGTGTGGAACCATCCCTACATATCTGTTATAAAGCAAACTTAATTATTGTCCATGATATTTTTGACATACGCTTCTATGCCGTTTGCAAGCATTTTATTGAGAACATTTGCCTTTACATTCATCAGAGTTTTCCATTTTGTTTGTGTCTTCACCTGATTTTGGTATGAGAATAATACTGGCTTCATTGAAGGAGTTTGTTAGTGGTCTCTGTTTCCATTTTTTTTGAACAATTTAAGCAATTTTAATTGTAGATGTTCTTCGAAGGTCTGATGGAATTCTGAGGTGAATCCATCTGGACATGGCTTTTTTGTATTACTATTTTGTATTACTATTTTTTAAATATTTCATATTACTATCACTACTTATTTGTTACGGGTCTGTTTAAGTTATCAATCTCCTTTGGTTTAGCTTTGGTGGCTCAGCTGAATCTAAACACTTTCTACTTTCTTTTAGCTATTTAAACTTAATGGAGTATAGTTTTCAAAATATTCCCTCACAGTGTTCTGAATTTCTTTGCTCCCTGTTATGTTTCCCTATTAATTTGACTGTTAATTCAGGTCTCAGCTTCCTTCCTTTTGGTTAATTGGAATAAGGTCTGTCAACCAGCTCTTATAGTCATTGATTCTCTGTATTATTTTCTTTGTAGCTATCTCACAGATTTCTGCCCTGGTTTCTACTATTTCTTTCTGTATCTTGCATTTCACATTAGTTTATTCTTCTTTTCTGAGGTTCTTGAGTTGCATCATTAGTCATTTAGTTTTGCTATTTCTGCTTTTTCTAATGCAGGTATTTAGCACTATATATTTCTCTCTTAGGACTACTATTAATGTGCCTCAGAAGTTTTATTGCATTGTGCTTTCATTTTCATTTAATTTCAAGCATTTAAAAATTTCCTTCTTGATTTCTCATTTGGCCCATTCATCATTCACCAATATGTTCTTTAATCTACATGAATTCATGTTATTTGTAGAGAATCCTTTACTGTTGATTTTAAGCTTTATTGTATTGTGGACAAAAGGCTAAAGGGAGTTAATTCAAATTTTCTG